AGAACCTGGCTGGCACAAACTGCATGAATATGAGTTGGGCTGCGCCTATTTCGGTCATGGAGATGAGGGACTGGTAGCACAATCTTTCCACAATCCCATGCTTGAAGTTGATGTTGTCCATTCAATTGCGCACTGCGGTTTGACCTCGCGGGAGTCGAACGATGACAACACGACATGTGAACTTGCCACGTTGTCAAGGCATGACATTCAATGCAAAACATCAGCTCCACTCATCGGATTGTGTGAAAAGTAAACTACCAGTCCTTTATCAAATTCGACAGAACAAGGTGACTACATCTCATATTACCGATTTACTGGTAGTCTTGACAACCTGCTCACTTCCGACAAAAGACACGATAAAATGCAACCTTAATGGTACTGTTCATGGCCGAGTTGTCCCTTTGCACTTTGGTCCTCGCGACCAGCAGTCCATCGGGGCACGAATCCCGTTTACGAATGCAACAACCCAAAGCACCGACTGTACCTTCCAGCCTCGGTTGCCGAGTCTCACAGCCAACTGTACTCACCTGAGTCTGGAGTGGGCGGCAGGAGCCAAAATTGCAAGTCGAGGAATTCAGTGTTCGGCAGAAGCCTCATTTGCTGCAGCCGGAGGGGGGCGATTCCCATCTCGAAGAGGGTGTACAGGGCACTTTTGATCACATGCAGGCGATAATTCGCGAGGATGATCCTGAGTGCATCATCGTTCAAGTAGATTTTAGACCCGCAAGTGAGTCTAGCAGCTGTGCGTTTGTACGATTGTACGCGTGTGAGTGTGTATGTGTGAGTGGATTTTGAGAATGACAGGAAAAAAACATAGGAAACGAATGTTTAGCATAAAACAGATCATATAAATGCCCAGTTATGTTGTGTATACGTTTGTGTGTGTGTGAGTAGATTTTGAGAATGACAGGGAAAAATCATAGGAAACGAATGCTTAGCATGAAACAGATCATATAAATGCCCAGTTCTGTTGTGTATACGTTGTGTGTGTGTGTGTGAGTAGATTTTGAGAATGACACGGAGAAATCACAGGAAACGAATGCTTAGCATGAAACAGATCATCTAAATGCCCAGTTCTGTTGTGTATACGTTTGTGTGTGTGTGTGGGAGTGGATTTTGAGGATCACACGGAGAAATCATAGGAAACGAATGCTTAGCATGAAACAGATCATATAAATGCCCAGTTCTGTTGTGTCTACGTTT